AGAAACAGAGATACATAGCTCGGAGAATATGAAACTCAAATTCGATTCCGGTCAAACCCCCACTAAATGGTACAAAATCCTTTTTATTTTTGCTTGGTTTTGAATGGATTTTTGCGTTTGGTTAATAGATTTATTATATGTGTAGTGTGTGGATAGACGTATGTGTAGGGAATGGATGTGCATAGATGTCTGTTTAGAGAACTTAGATTGATGGAATTGAAAATCATCCACCACCCAAAATCTAGGAGGGAACTTAGATTGCCGGATTAAAAGAACTTAAGAGTGTTGAATCGCATAACTATGGAAACAGATCGAACATGGCTCCTGTCATTTGACCATTCACATGATCGTTAGCGATGCTAGTAGATTGGTTTGTCTTTCATATCGTATTTGCCATCATCACTCTAAATTCTTTTAATTTGGCAATAAAAGTTTTCTCCAGATTTAGATATTAGGTGAGGAATTAAGATACTTATGGATGGATTTAGATTTAGCTAAAGCTATTTAGGGTAGGAAGGAAACATGAATAATCGACTTGTTCTTAATAGAAGCTCCGTTCGATGTGCATACTCTGTGTTTTTTTTTTTTTAATTTAGAAACAGAGACACGACGCTGACGTGGCGATGGTGGCTGAGCTGAGAAGGATTTGGTTCGCTTAGGGAGAGATCGAGGACGATGAGAAGCACCGGAAACGGAGGCAAGAAACACCGATTGCTTTCAAGCCGGAAAATTAACTGCAGCAAATTATCAATGATTTAGCCTATTGTATCACTTAACAAGTTTAAAATCCAATATTATATCGTTAATGAAATTGAACTCAAAATAGCAATGTATGCCATGAACGTGTGGTGAATCGTCCATGAGTCGTGACAACATGTATTTAACTATTTCTACTCTATGACTCATTGTCTATCAAGTTAAAACGAATGTACCTTCGTGGAAGAATATATGTAAATTGTTCAAATCGATTTTATTAACCATACGCAACAAAATTCCCTTTAGCTAGTGCATACACATCTTCAACTAATTCTTAGC